TCTCTGCCTGAGTTAGGACCTATCAAAACACTGCAACTGACCAAGACGTCTTTTTCAAAGGGTCATTTTTGTGGCAAAGTTCTTAGAACCGCACCAGGTACATAGTAAATGCTTAGTAAGTGTTAACCATATGATTTGTGCAGTGATAATGGCGGTTATTATTGAATTGCCTAGCATATGGGTCTGGCATATTGTAGGTGCTTAACAAATGTTCAAAGTTGATGTTATTATTATGATTTTTTACAGCCATCACCGGCACATAGTAGGTGATTAAACAAGTGCTTAATCCTCCTGGAAGGCCAAATACTTGCGTTTCCCATCTGGAAAAGGACCTCAAGGCACTCTCCTGGGTTCTGGAAGGGAGAGTGAGCTGTCCAGCAAGGGGTCAAGTTCTGGGTAGAAGCTGGCAGCCCTACTCTGATCTTCCTTCCTCCACCCCCACCCATTTGATTCAGAGGACTCTCCCTGAGGCTAGGGGTGGAGTAGGCAGGGACCATCTGGCCTACCTTGGAGGAAGAGAGCAGGGTGGGAGGGGCAGGGGCAGGGGCAGGAAGGGCCACAACCAAGGGCTTCCTGGAGGAGGAACCCTAGGCTGTGTTCTGAAGAATGGGTAGTGCTGAGGTTAAGGCAGAGCCTATTGAGGAGGCTGGAGCAGACAGGGTCTCGGGATCAGGCTAGGAGATGCTGTGGAAGGCCTGACCTGATAGGGAGCAGCCCCTGGCAGTAAACCTGGTGCTGGCTGGACGCATGTTCTTCCACCACTGCCCACCTTCCAGGGCCAAAGCTTTAAGATGCAGAAATGGTGTGGGGGGCGGAGGGGGCGGGACTGTTGAGCCTTGGGCCAGAATCTGTACCCAGTTGCTCCCAGTTTGAATGGCCTCAGTTGTTCAACTACCCAGGGGTCACCCTAGGAGTGTTAGGAGTCAGCCAGGATGGAATACCCTCGCCCCTCATACATACATACCCCACACTCCAGGCAGCTGATGCCAGCCCAACTTAATTGGCTTCTGTGCCAGGGAGAGAGTAGGATGCCCATTCTGCCAGCTGGGACGGCACAGCCTCCTGCCAGCCTGAGAAGGACAGGGAGGGGCTCTCTGGATTACCCTGGCCTCAAACCCAGCCCTCCAGAGGGTAGAACAGGGACTGGTGCATACCTCCTCCCACCCTTTCACACCCATGCCTTAGCTGAGAAAGAGAGAAATGCTCTCCAGAGCAAGTCCTGGGTCCTGGGGAAGGAATAACCTCAGGGAAGAAGGATGTATTCAGCCACCAGCTGCTGTGGCAGCACACACATGCACACATACGTATTCATGCGACTGCCACAGGTGTCTGTGTACACAGGCGTGTGCAGACACACTCACTGACAGCAATGGACCTGTGCAAACCAGAACCTGCATACACATCCTCCCCAGAGACCTGAGCAGACATCCTGAGCCACCTGCTATGAGCCAGGCACTAGGGACAGGCAAACACGAGCTCCCCTGACGGCTGGCTGCTTCTCACAAACAGATACACTTGAAATGTAACTTTTGCACAGAAGTATTTGCAGATGTGATTATGTTATATCTGGAGTTTGCTGGAAGCATGGGATGTGTGGGAATAAAATATTGCCCAGGGTTACTCCCTATTGGAGCTGAGGTGAGGCACATGGGTTCCACTGTACTGTATTAGTTTCTCTATTGTTGTATACGTTTGAGACTTACCACAACACAAAGTTAAATGCATACACATAGATAATTGGCAGTTGGTAATAAGTGAAGTGAAGAGAAGTAAGGCAGGGTACAGGGACCAAGGACTAGGACTAGAAAGGCTCTTTAGATTGGGTGGTCAGGGAAGATTTCTCCAAGGAGATGACATTTAAGCAAAGACCTGAATTAACTGAAGTGTGAACCACAAGGACATCTGGGAGAAAAAACATTCTAGACAGAGGGGACAGCAAGTGCAAAGGCCTATGGAGGACTGGCCTGGAGTTCTGTGACCAAAGAGGACAGGGGTCCCAGGTGAGGTTATAGAGAGGCCTTGTGATCTGTGCTAGGAGTTTGGAATCTATCCTACAAATGGCAGGAAGTCCTGGAGATTGAAAGCAGGAAGGACATGATTTGATTTAGAATGTGGTTTTAAAAGATCACTCTGCATCTCCTGCTAGACCGTCGGGGAGCAGGAGAGAGCAGAGCAGCCTGGAGGCGGCTACAACAGTCCAGGCAGCAAGCCTGTAGCGGGCTGAGCAGTGAAATGCTGCAATGGCTCAGATTTGGGATCTCTGTTGAGGAGCTAACAAAATTTTGCTCATGGGTGAGATGTGGAGTGAAGGAGAGAGAGAGGAGCTGAGCATGGTTCCAAGGCTGTGCCTGAGCTTCGGGGCGAGAGGTGTCTTTTCCAGGCTGGGGCCACTGCAGGGACTCGACTCAGGTATAAGGTGCACAGACAGGCACCCACTCCAGGAGACCAGGCGCAGACACAGGCCCCACCACCCCACCTCTGCCTGCCCCACCCTACCCCTCCTTAAAGCCCCAGGATCAGAACCCCCACCCCACCCCCACCCCATCCTCAGCACTCACAGGACACCCTCCTCCCAGTATTTCCCTACTAACTGTCACTCCTGCCCAGACTGGCTTCCTGGAGCAAGGAGGCTCGCTCCTGACTCAGTTTCTTCTCAGAGCCCAGAGCCCAGCCCCTTACCCCAACTCCCTGCCCTTGGTCTCACCTGTCTAGCCCCTCCTCCTCCATGACTAGATCCTGCTCCCATACCCCAGCCAGAGGCCCCACATGAAACTATCGCTCAACAAATATTTGCTTGGTGCCCCGTGGGCCCAGCCCTCTGCCCTGTCACCCACTGTCTTAAGGCCCACAGCCAACTCCACCCAGTCACCATTACCTGCCCCCAGCTCCCCACTGCCCCCCATTCCCAGCACTCCTAAATTCACTCAGCAGGACAGCTGCTCCGACCCTGTCTAGCCTGCCAGCCATGGGCAGGCAGCTGGAGCCACGGGAAGGGCACTGTTCAGCGAGCAGGCAGACCTCAGTCCTATCCGCCATCCAGCTGCTCAGCCTCACACAGGTGACAATACCTCTGATCCTCCATCTGCTGGAAAATTCTGGCAATAGTTCTCACCTTTCAGACTGTTGTGGGCAATAAGATAATCCATGGGAGGCTCTCAGTCCGATGCCCAGCACGTCATAGCCACTCAGCGGTAACTGTTATGTACTCAGGCCCACCCCGCCCTGCTGGCCTGCATGGCTTTGAGGACACAGCACACCCGGAACAG